ATAAAAACACTGTGCTATAAATTATATTAATAGGAAACGCTGTGCTGAATATTCTCTCTTTTTAGCTGAGTAATGCAAGTCTGGGAATTAAGTTTTGTTCCTCAGTTTATGATTGCGGTAGTCATTATAAATTAATATGTGAAAATAGAAGGACTTGTCCTAAATGCTTACAATAGTGGGTGCCACGTTAGAGGTTATAGTCTCTGTTTAAAGCAGGATCAACTAAAAATTAATTGTACAGGAATCTGTGTGAACTGTGGCACAGATTTTTGGAGTTGTTTAATGCCTGCATACCTGTAGTGTAACAAGCAACAGCCAGCACTAGAAGTATACTTTGTACAATTGGCACTGCCTCAATGAAGACTTTTGCGGTGCGTCTTTCTCACATGGGCTTCCAATGTTAGTGAAAGGTGCAGATTTAGGATTTTAACATGTAGCCCTTAGGGTTAAAAATTATTGTTATAGTCATCATACCCTAAGGGGTCAAATCTTAAATCCAATTCAAGCTCAAACTGAATTTTGATAATAATACATTTATAGTAATAATAATACAGAACACTATTTCTCTGTAACCCATAACTCTTAAAATAAAAGCCATAAAATATATGATTTTTATAAAATCCCAAGAGCAGTTAAACGAAGATATAAAAAAATATATAAAAAATGCTAGTAATTTCTATTTAAGATGGAAAGGACCTGGGTAAGAGGTCCTTAGAAATACAGCTCTTAGTTGGCGTACCTGGTGTGGCTTTGTCACTATATATTCTAAAGAACAGGAAAAATGCATGGGAGCGGCACCTACATTGAAGAATTCTAAACTGCTAAAAGTGTTGCCACCCTCTTTAAGTCTCCAAAGGCTCCAAAGCACTCTCCATGTACCCCACAGTAATTCAGAAGCTTCTCAATGCAAGTCACATGTGGCTTGAAACTACTCTGTGTGCAATTCAGCAATGAATTAAATAATCCAGATATAAGTCAACGCCACTCATAAGCACCAGGCTGCATACTGCATTTGACTTGCTTATAAGTCTGATGCCCATGTACATCAGCCCTTATACCATGCAGGGATGGATGGACCACAAAATGTGTATTAGTTTACAAATATTTGGTGAGTAAACCACTGATAGAAGACTAATTTGGGAATTGAGTTGGGAGACCTATCTAAACAATAGTGTAGGGCAGCCATCATGAGCTTTAAATACTCTGCAAATAAAAGGTCAGTGTGAATAGAAACTGGATCATTTTTATGATTTTTATTCTTGCCCCTGATGTTTGACAGACTATTAGCACAATCATACCATGTTCCAATGCAGGGCCCGCCAGAGAAAGCAAGGTTTTTGAAAAAAAAAATGTTTAAACATTGGATCCTTAATCACTGGTGCATCCTCAACAGGTATCATGAATTCTTTATTAGGATGTGACATTGTTGGATCAACAGAGCCCACTTCTTATCAGAAGCTGCAATATGTTTGGGAGGTGTAAATAGTCAGGAGTTTCCCAGACTCTATACGGGATGTTTTGCAGTAGGATATTCACCTGAAAAGTTTTTGAAGTATGAGGGATCCAAGGCTGGTATCAACACTAATAGAAGCTACAAGCTGTTCTTCTATTTTAAGGTGGTACATACACCATTATTAAGGGTTTAAACAATCTCTCTAACACTGGTAGCTATGGCAGATGCCGTAGACTCCTCTGGTATACCATCTGTCAAGTATTTGTGAGACTGTTAATCAGATAGAGCCTCTGCAGCAAAGGCTACTAAACCTGTATGCAGATCCAATAATGATTCAGTAGGGGAAAGCATTGAGATGCACTGATAGGCTCTATGGTTAGAGTCGACAAATAAAGTTGCTGTTTGACCCATGAAATCCTGCTTAATTGCAGGGAAATCCTTCTAGATAAGGCTGCAGAGGTGGTCACATCCAACAGAGCTAAGGAAGACACCAAGGAATCAAGGAATGTAGAGTTCCATGCAGTGGACAACATTCAAGGCTGTCAGTTTTAGTAGAGGAAGCACTTGCAGGCTGCCTCAGAACTGTCAGTGGATCTCGTGACAGTAATGAGGTCTGGGCACACCAAACCTATTTAGGAAACCCCATTGTCCCCTCAGTTTGTTGAAATTTACCACTTGACATTGACAAGATTAGATAATATTACTGAATATTTGTTTTTTAGAGAGTCTTCAAAAGTTATTTAATTCCCCCCTTGAATGCCAGAGCACCAGAGTTCTGATTTGCAGGCCTGTGTTATTACTGTTTTATGGTTTTAGGGCCAAGCTCTTAATGGGGAATCATAAAGCACTGGGTGACAGCCAGAACACTAATTAGTTATCAATTGACAGATCCCAAAAAAGTAGATTCCACCTAGATAATCTGGACTGAACATATAAACGGGGAAGGAAGGTTCATAAAATATACAATATATAGCAAAGGAAGTATATATCATGGTTGATCCCCTATTATTAGTTATCACAGAACCAGAGCTTTTCCCCATAAGGGGATCCCATCATAATTTCAAAATCTTCAAAAAAAATTAATAAAAAATATATATTTATTTATGAATTAATCTAAAATGCACAAGTATAAAAAAACAAACATACATTTAATACATATAGGACAGCCAAGAATGTACTAAAAAAAATATATGCACTTTATCAAGGTATCAAGGGGCGTACCGAATATCTCCTATATATATTTACTATATGTACTTTTTTCATATTTAGCCGAAGGCTGTCCTATATGTATTATGGGCAACAACTCTGGTTCTGTTATAACCTGGACTGACCTGCAAATAGCCCTATTTAAAAAAAATAGTTTCCAAACACAACACAAAATTAATCTTTTTGGACTTAGGGGCAATACAATAATAATAACTAGATATGTAGATGTATCATGAAGCACTGGTCGCATACATACCATGCAACTCTGTCTTAGGATGGCAAGGGGCCAAAGACACATTAACCCTTCTGAGGAAGCTAAACACTACAGGCTTTTTAAATCTGGTATGTATGAAAAGCCAATTTCACAATGTACAATGATCTATGGTTTCTAATACTGTAGCATATGGGTGAATACAAATATGGCTGCATTTAGGAAACTGACATTATGAGAGGGCCAGGTGAAATATCATGAAGTGCTTTAGCTCTCCTGTCTCACACAGGCCTTTCTGATTTAAGTGGAGGCTGGCTCAGTGACAACCTCTAGAAGGCCCACAAAAAGATGCTGCACAAGGCCTATCTGGAGGAAGAGTGAGCATCACAGGCATTGCTTAAGATTAGAATTGTCACATCATTTGCTGTTTCCATTAAAACACATGGTGGCAGCTATTGTTTGTGTGTGTAAAGGGTTAACTGCGATGTTAACCAACCCCAGTGACAATTACTCCCAGGCTGCTGGCTTTAGATTCTTGTCCAATCTCTGGAGGGTGAAGCTAAAAGAGTGGTATCCTCACAGCACATGATCCGGAAAGACCCGGTACAGAAGGACTGATTCCCTTGTGTTTGGGATCCAATATGTTGCATTGCTTGACAGGGACAACTTCACTCACAAACTGGCTGCTAAAAGCAGGAGAAGTTCAACTACCTGGAGGTGACCTGGTAAATGTAAGCTGCAGAAAGGACTAACCGAGGTGAAGTTGTTTGTCTTTTGCAATTAAGGCAGTGAGGGGAAGGATCTACATGACACCAAAGCTCTTATTCCAGACAGGACCTGTAGTCTTTTGGTACAGGAGGGTCTAGGTACAGCCTCCAAAGCTATTGCTGAGGATACAGGAATATGGATAGCTGCAAAAATAGACTAGCTCAAGCAGCATGTAGAAAAGTCTTCAGTGAAGTAAAAATATTATTGAGGAAAAGAAAAGAAAATGGTTTCATGTAAGGGGTATACCAGGCTGATCACTGTTTTTTGTTTGCTAGTGTTCAAATCCTGTAGACGAAAGTATAATCCAAATGTCTCTAAATGCTGCATCCCTCAATGAATGAGAAAGAAAACTCATTTATTTTAAAAAAATATCACAAACCATTATTTTTCCTGTTAAGTAAAGTGGTATGTGGAGGATAAACAAAACTGCACATTTAGCAATTATACTATATTGTCACTTTAAAGGTCATTCCAACTTTTTATCCAGAGAAAAGTTTATCTTCACCTGGCTTAAAACCCAACTCCAGTTAAATAATTTACGTTTTCTACACAGAAGCATGGCGAAAATATCTTTCTGGTTTTAATTTCTGGTTTGTGTCCCCATACATCCATGTTAGCACAGGAAGTAACAGGTAATCTCCCCAGTGTGAACACAGACAATAAAACCTGTTTCTGGTTAAAAGGTGAAGGGTTAGAACCTTAGTCATGTTATTATTACTGTACGTGTCTTCCGCTATTAAAACCCCTCCTGTCACCGGAACAAAAAGTGAGGTGACTTGTTCCGAACGAGGTCATGGATAGAAATTAAAGTCTGTCTTTAGGCAAAACTTATTTTGGATAGTGTAGAGAAAGGTTAGACCATCTGCCAATTTTTTGTTGTTGTCTGTGTTACCATAGGGGAGATTCACCCCTCTATTTTTTTCTGTAGACCATTGTGACCAAGAAAAAAAGTTAGGGGAAATCCAAAATTTTAGAGTTATCCTCAGAAGAATATGTAAGATAAAATCTTCCAATGGGTACAACAGTTCTGGGAATAGCTTTCTAAGATGGGAACTCATTATGGGATATTTTACTTTATCTTCCAGTTGCATCTCTGGGACAAGAAGAGAAGAGAGTCCCTGGGAGAGAAAGTGAAGGGTAATTCCCCCATTGGTACACAGGCAGCAAAAAATAAATGTACAGGGCTTTTAACCCTGCCCTACTCTATCCAAAACTAAAAGAACACGTTTTATATATTCATTCACTTTACACTTGGGGATACTCCATTAAAAAAAATTACTGAAATTGGGCATGTCTACAATACTGTATTTAAAAATGTAAAACAGATAAAACATTTCTAGTATTGACAATAGTAATACTTACTGAATAGAGCTTTCAATCCGAGATACTGTCAAAAAGGCTGCTAGGTTTGCTGTGTAAGAAGAAATTACAATTAAGGCAAAAAGCCACCAAGCTCCCATCATCATTCGTGTTGCCATTGTATTAAATGGGACTTCTCCACCTGTTAGAGAAAACCACAGAAGAAATTATTAGAAGAAGAAAAAAAGTAATGGTTTACATCACAGTGTTTAATCTTGTTAAAATGACCAATATATAATTATATAAACTTGCACATTGTTTTGTTATTGTTTTGTATTAATGCTACTACAAAACAAAATGGCTAGAGGCAAAATAAAAGGGTGATCTTCAAAAGTATAAAAGTGCAATTTTGTAGATAATTAAACACCACTTAAACCAACTAAATATTAATATATATTCATTTTGAATATAACTAACACTGAACTTTGTCTGCTTAAGAATCTTTAGCAATCCTATATGTTTCCTTACAGTGTTATGAGCATGACTGGCTGGGTAGATGATATAGCCAACTACACCACAAGTTGTCAGAGTAGTTTAAAATTCTAAATATAACCCATTACTTATAAATCAGTTTCTGAACATGGGTAACTTTTTTGGAAAGTATCCAATTTACTAAACAAGAAATCATAATTTTGTCTTTACCTCCCTCTTTTAAGACCATTTGTAGCCAAAAGGAGTATAGCTTTGTGTCTCTCTCCACCATGTTCTCTCTGGATTTAGACCTGCATATCTATAACAAACTGAGACTGTAGCACACCAAGGTTTGGTGCAACATTAATTGGGCAAAAACTACAAAATATGTGACCAGTGCCAATGAATATGCTGGGATCTGCTGGACTCTTCTAAACATATCCCTTACTGTAAAGCTTTGTTAACAATAAACATATAACAGAAAAACTATCAGGAACATTGCATAGAATGGTGCAGGTTTAGGTAAGTCATGTAACGTAATAAACATGGTGCACATGCATTCTGAAAATACAAAGGATGCCAGTAGACATGAATTATCTGGACTTTGCTAAAGCAGTCGATACAGTACCCCACAAATGTTTAATCCATAAACTAAGGTTTATATGTCTAGATTAAATTGTATGAACATGGGTGGACAATTGGCTGCAAGAACAGACCAAGAGGGTAGCGATAAATGCATCATTCGCTAATTGGGCAAGGGTTAGGAGTGGGGTGCCCCAGGGTTCAGTCCTGGGACCAATTCTTTTCATCTTATTCATCCATGACATAGAGATTGGACTAAATAGCTCAATTTAATTTTTTGCAGTTGATACTAAACTGAGCAGTAAATTCCAAACAGGAGATATTCGCACTACAGCAGGACTTAAGCAAAATTGAGGCATGGGCTACAAGATGGCAAATGCAATTTAATGTTGAAAAATGTAAGGTTATGCACATGGGAGTAAAGAATATGTGCGCAAACTACTACAGTAGGGAAGTCAGAAAAAGAAAAAGACCTGGGAGTCCTCATAGATCACAGATTTGGCAATAGTAAGCAATACCAAGCTACAGCCAGCAAAGCTAACAAGATACTGGCATGTATTAAAATAGGAATTGTAGTAAGGTATCAAAGAGTAATACTTCCACTTTATAAATCATTGGTTCAGCCCCATCTTGAGTATGTGGTACATTTCTGGTCGCCGACTCTCAGGAGGGATGTCCTGGAACTGGAGAAAGTTCAGAGAAGGGCTACAAAATTAATTAAAAGGATTGAAGGCCTGAGTTATGAGGGCCACATTCAAAATCTTAACTTATTCACCTTATAAAAGAGGTGATTAAGAGGGGACCTTATTGCTGTCTTTAAAATCATCAACGAGGACCACATTATTAGGTACACACTGTTTAATCCCAAAACTGTATTGAGAACCCCGGGACACAACAAGAGGTTAGAAGAGAGGGGATTCAATCTTAGAAATAGCAAGGGGTATTTCACTGTGAGAGTAGTGAAAGCTTGGAATTCTCTCCCACAGGCGGTGGTATCTGCTGATAACATTAATAATTTCAAGAAACTACTTGTTTCGCAGGATCTACAGTGATTTGGGAAGTTGTAGAGCCAGATAAATACACACACACTCACATGCACTCACATGCATAGGTTGAACTGGATGGACCTTGGTCTTTATTCAACCTTGCATACTATGTTACTATGAAACCCTTGTGTGATTGTACTGGGATGTCAAATCATTAAAGATGACCTTTACCCATATCTGTAAAATAACAACAAGCAAACCTTTAGAAATGTTTAGCAATGACAATCACAAACACATACTTCTAGATAATTGCCGGCTTTGTATTCTTTGCATACCTTATTTGTCTTTTCTTACCCAGTCTTCTGACAGTGGCCATGTTTACTAAGGGCAGATTACTAGCTCTCTTTTTACTGCCTTGAATTCTGGCACATGTGACTAGACATGTGACCATCCACATCATCTCAGGGAAGGAAAATGCCTTTCCCTGAGATCTCGTGAGATTACAGATGAGATTTCCCAGCAATGCTCTGCTGATGACAAGGCAATCCCAGTGTGCATTGCTTTGGCAAACTGAAGTCATTTTCTCCTTTCAAAGCAGGAAGTGAATGCTCTGCAAGTGTAAGTATTTCAATATCACAACATTTTACACCTGACATGTCTATGTTATTATTAATCATCATACATCGAGGGATGCATTGGTAGAATTACATTTTTGAGTGTAAAGGTCCTTTTTTTAACAAATATTGCTAATAATTTTTTTTATTAAAAACAATTCTTAGCAAAAGAACTACTTATTTCTTTGTATATGTGCTGTATTCTCCCGAGAACATAATTATTCAAACTAAATAAATAAATCTTATGTCATTGGCAAACTTTAAGCAATAGGTTGGTCAGAGTGTAGAATTATTTTACATATGACAAATATAATACACATATAATTTGGAATATCCTGCAAATCAGACAAAATACTGAAAGATTAGTGTCCTTGAAGTCAGATTCTATAGGACGTTTACTATTCCTCTGAGTGAGACTTTTACCTCTCACTATTCTGTAACCACTGTGCGGCCTATCCTTGATAATTAACTCTCTACAATCTTTTCTGTAGGCTGAGGTTGGGGTAGAGTAGACATATATTTTATTCTAAAAGATAAATCTGGAGTAATTCACAATCTATTTAGGTTCAGTCGACCTTTTAAGATGTTTTTTATTTTCTCCTTGGCCTGCTTCTTAAAAAAAAGGACTTGAATAGTTAATCACTGTTCTGTATTTTTTAACCGATCTCCCAACAAGAGGCCTGTTTTTCATGGCAATCATTCAGCTGGATCAATAGTGTTTTTTAAAAGAAGATAAAGAAATAAAATATGCAAGCCTAGAGCATATTTCTAGGTCTGGCATTCACATATTTCTATTACCACTTGGGGAAGTACATAGACCACAGAGAAACCCTGATGGGTGACACTGAGAATTACTAGTTTGCAGGACCCATTTAGACTGAGAAAGCCAGGATAGCAGCCATTAGAGTTTGTTTTTACAATTTAGGGTGATCTGGCAAATGAGAAAAAAAAGAGTGGCCTCCTGCTTTCATTACTACACATAATATTTTCACTTGCAACATACTTTTAAGAGTAAGATACAGTCATAAACTGCTGTAAATTAAAGCCTTAGTCCCATCAACTCACTGCCCCTTTTTGAAAGTACGTTTTGGATCTTTGTTAGAAAAATATCATGAGTCATAAGCAATCCCACTCATCTTTTGAAGTTATGAAGCACATCTAAACTGTGCTCCCTTTATTGAGCTAAATCAATAGCTCTCCCTGTGAGAGACATATCACAGTATTTCTTGCCTGTCTTAAGCTGGCTGTTCTAACTCAGATAAATTTATCAGTCCTAAAAAAAATGCCTTCTACTGCCTCTGTTTAATTTCAATCTCACTGTAAGTATTTGATTAATGATGCAAATCCTTGCAATTTCATTCAATCTATGGAGGTATCTTAGCTTTTACCCCAAAAATTGAACAATTACAGATATAATCTCCAGTATTTCTAATTTATATTCATAAAAACAAAATGTTGTATGCAATACAGCAGCAGGCAGAAAATGCATTCTACGTAATAATGTGCTACCTTATCTCCCCTTATTTATCAATATATAATATGAGAAAGGAAGATTTTCAGGCAATACGCAATGCAGATTGTTAATTTTGTCTCAAGTATCTTAGCAAAAGGAAAGGTAGATTGTAACCTTTAATTACATGGTCTCACTTATTACTGTAATGAATATTCACTTATTATAGAATATGTAGTATCCATTTATTATAGCAAAGTACTAACTGTCCAGGAATTTGTGATTAGCTATTTCTCATATGGCTTATTGCTTAATTTGATCCAAACATAGAAATGACTAAAAATGAATTGATTAAAATTTAACAGTGAGCTAAATTTAGTCTAAATAATGCTAATTTAAACCTTATCATACAGTAGTTGTTCCTTTCACAACCAGTGGACACAACCTCCTTTCTGATGGAAGAAATAGAATCAAGGTTCTTATTAATGTGTATACTTTATTACACGAAATATGCTGCAGGCTTGGAATAGAATTTTGGCAAGGCCAGGATGTGATGTATCTGCACTGGTCTTAACTCTGTAGTCTGCTCACTTTGACTAGTCATGTTTTTATAACATGGTAACATTCACTGTCCTACACTGCTAATAACCTTGGCTCCCCATATCTGACTGAAATAACATTAAATCATACTCCATATTTCTTCAGATAAAAGAGCCAGCTCTTCTGTCAAATTTCTGTTGCTGTATGTGTTCCCATATGGGACTTCTATCCTTACTTTCTGCCTGGAGACCCCAGGTCAACAAATATGGGAAACAGGTGTCATTAGGACAGAAATATATAGACTGCAGTATAAATCTTGAAGTTCTAACATTTTCCCAACATTTGCTAAATAAAAGTAAGCATAAATCTCGGCAAACAGAGATGTGAACAGCACACAATAGCATTTTAGCAGAGTTAAGAAGAGATGGAATCTTTGTCAGAGTTATATTGCTGTCTATGTCTACTGGGGAGATCCCCAGAATCCTAGGAAGACTACTTCCCTGCTATACATCACTATCAACAGCATGCTTGTGACTATTTGAATGCCTGTGTCTGGGAC